ACCGCCCCGGGAAGAGCCCTGCCCCGAGCCCACTGCTGAGGCCAATGGGGTTTTGGAGGAGACACCTGAGACGGTCCCTGAGGCGCCTGTGTGCCAGCCAGTGCCGGTCTCTGAGCCGGTGCCTGTGCCCACCCTGGACTCCCCCATTGCCCAGCCTGAAGAGCTGCCCCTACCCAATGGGGTGGAGGGCACCAGCAAAGTGGAGCCAAGTGAGGAGCAGCCTGAGTCGGATGTCAGCCCCATCTCAGAGCCTGAGGAGCTAGCCCAGCCTGGCACCCCTGCCTCCCCACCTGCAGAGGAGGAGGAGGAAGAGAGTGAAGGCCCTGGTGAGACCCAGGAGCAAAGCTTGAGCCCAGCCCCTGCCCCCTCACAGATCTCGGAGGCGACCGCGCAAGGTTGGGAATGCTGGGCTGTAGAGTGCCCCAGGGTGGGTGTTGGGTGATGGGGGACATCAGATGGGTGTGATGCTAGGCATGAGGTACAGGGAGGGTGTTGGAGAGGGGGATGTGGTTAGGGATACAGGGTGTATAGGTATGGGATGCTGAGAGGGACAAGGTGCCTGTTGATGTGGGATCAGGGAGATGTCTTGGGAGTGTATCTGTGTGGAGGTGTATGGGGTGGGTATAGAGGGCTGTGTGTGGGGGATGTCACGGGGAATGGAAGTGCATTTTATGTGGTGCCTTACACTGGGGTGTAGGGTGGGTGTATCAGGGTTGTATCTGAGGATTGTCTGCAGTCCTTGAGGGCACTGGGAGGTGGAGGATTGGCAGGGAAGATGTATGACATGCTGTGTAGGGGTATGCAAGTATACCATGTCAAGGGGTGCTTGAGGAAAGTGGGGTGCCCTTGGGATGTGTTGGGGTTTTTCTTTTTATTTTTAGCACTCCTGCATAGGAGTGTTGGGGTTACATAGGAGTGACGGGGAAGATGAGTTCACAGGATGTGTTTATATAGAGTGCCTTGGGCAGGATACAGGGGTGCTGTAGGAGGGCAGCCTGAAGTTAGATACATCTAACTTCACATATCTGTATGGGCTGGTGTATGGGAACAGGTTTGTATGGATTGTCCCTGTAAGAGCAGTGTGGGTGTGTTCAGGGATCCTCTGACAGGATGGGGAGCACGCACTAGGGCAGTGGTGTGGATGGGAGGCTTTGATGAGGCACATGGTAAACTGGGGTGCGTTTGGGGATGGGGGCTGTGATATGGTGGCAGGACCACATCCCTGTGGCTCCATCTTGAAGCTCGCCTGGTTTTACTGGGGCCTTGCTGGTGATCGCATAGCTGGTGTCAGGGTACTGGGGACTGGGAGGGTTCCTGTCTTTCACCTTCCTGCCTCTCCTCCCAGTCGCCATGTCGGTGCCAAAGAAGAAACGAAGGATGAAGGAGTTGAACAAGAAGGAGGCAGTAGGTGATTTGCTGGATGCCTTTAAAGAGGTGAGTGTCCCAGGGGTGTCTGGGGATCACCCAGTGTCCCGTCTCCTCCTGTGATGAACTCTGCTTTGTGCCATCGTGTCTGGGCCACTGATGCTCTGTGATGGTAATGAGGATCTGAGGTGGGGTGGACACTGAGGTGTGGGGTGAAGGGGACAGGACTAGGCTCATGGGTGACTGCTGTCCCTGTTCCCCCGATGCAGTCTCAGACTGGTGATAGTGCCTCGGAGGCGGAGAACAAGCCCCCCATGTCTGCCCCTGCCAGTGAAGCAGAGGACGTGGCTCCTGCCCGTCCACAGGAAGAGTCGGAAGAGACGTGGGAGGAGAAGGAAGACAAGTTGGCCCCAGAGAAGGGCAAGGCTGCTGGCCAGAAGTACGGCTACAAGGAAGGTGAGCTGTGCCTGGGCACAGTGCTCTGCTGGCAGCCACCAACTCTGGACCCAGCAGTGGGGAAGGTGTGGGTGGCATGGTCCCACAGTCCTGAATTTCGCATTCTCCTCCCATCTTGTCCTCAAGCTTGGCATGAGGTGAGGAACAGAATTCCCTGCACAAGGGTCCTGGCAGGAGGCAGGGAGCTGGTGGCATCAGGTTTTCGAAGTGTGCATGGTTATCCTCATGGTATACCAGGCTGGGGCAGTTCTGTGGTTGTCTACATCCCACCTCGCTTGTCCCTGTGTGGACCCAGACCCACCACAGCTCAGGGTGGAGAATATGGGACAGACTGTATCAGTCTCCCTCTTGCCCTCCACTGCAGAGCAATGGAAGCCACTGAACCCTGAGGAGAAGAAGCGATACGACCGGGAGTTCCTGCTGGGCTTCCAGTTCATCTTTGCCAGCATGCAGAAACCTGAGGGGCTGCCACAGATTACAGATGTGGTGCTGGACAAGGTCGGTGCGGCCCTGGAAACCGGGGAATTGTGGGTGGCGGTTGGGTGGGGGTCAGGCTCCTTTTTGTGCCATGTGAAGGTGGGGCAGGGACTTAATTTTGTGCTCAGGGTCCTGTTGCAGCATCTGCAATGACCCTTGAGCCTGGGTTTGGTGGGTGTGGGGGGGCACCTCTGGGGCCTTTTTTCCAGTTCCTTGTCCCGGCGCTGAGGCTGGGGGATGGATCCGTCCCGCTCCTCTGCCCCCGGGCATCCTCAGCCGTGTGTACCTTCACAGGCCAACAAGACCCCACTGCGGGCAATCGACCCCATCCGCCTCAGTGGCATGAACTGCAGCCCTGACTTCACCCCCTCCTTCGCCAACCTTGGCCGGCCTGTCATGGGCAACCGGGGCCTGGTGAGTGTCTCCTCGCTTCATTCCTGCCATCCTGCTCTGCCTCTCTGTGATGATCAAGCTTTCGAGCCGCTGTGTCTGGGCCACTGATGTCTTTGATGGAGTTGAGGATCTGAGTAGGCAGACTGGGGTCTTCTGGGAGTCAGCTCACATGGTCCCAGAGCAGAGAGCTGAGTTTCTTCTCTGTGTGTCAGCCTTCAGGGTTGGGTCCCCGCCGCTCCCAGCAGAGCCAGAGGAAGGAGCCCCGCAAAATAATTGCTACCGTGTCCCTCAATGAGGATGTCAAGCTGAACAAGGCCGAGAAGGCCTGGAAACCCAGCAGCAAACGTGCTTCCGAGGAGGAGGATCCTGAGAATATCAAGACACAGGTGGGAGCTGGGGTGGGCAGGCAGTCGGAGGGCCTGGGGGAAGGCTGCCCAGCTCTTGCTGACATTGTTGCCCTTGCAGGAACTGCTCCGCCGTGTCCGCAGCATCCTCAACAAACTGACGCCCCAGATGTTCCAGCAACTGATGAAGCAGGTGATGGAGTTGTCCATCGACACGGAGGAGCGGCTCAAGGGTGTCATCGACCTCGTCTTCGAGAAGGCCATCTCGGAGCCAAACTTCTCTGTTGCCTATGCTAACATGTGCCGTTGCCTTATGGGGGTGAGCAGAAGCTGGGCGGTCTCCTGCTGAGTGGGCAAGGTTTTTATGACCATATCAGCTGACCTTAGTAGTGTGCAGGTCCTTCTGTATGGAGTGGAGAAACGGGTGTGTGGATGGAGGACCATGTTCAGTCTCAGCAGAGCATCACAGTGTTGTAGGGTGTCTTTTCTTTGATTTGAAAGCACCACCTTAGTTGCCCAGCTTTTGGGGGAGACACAACTCATACCCCTTCTCTGGGTTGTACCTCTCCCTGCAGCTTAAAGTGCCCACAACAGACAAGCCCACAGTGACTGTGAACTTCCGCAAGCTGCTGCTTAACCGCTGCCAGAAGGAGTTTGAGAAGGACAAGGATGATGATGAGATCTTTGAGAAGCGGCAGAAGGAGATGGATGATGCCAGTGCTGTGAGTTGGGGTGGGAGTCTGTGGCTGAGGGCTGGTGTGGGTATCCTTGGGCTGGCTCTGGACACTGAACTGGCCTGCCGGGCTTCTTGTGCAGCCTGAGGAGAAGGCGCGTATGAAAGATGAGCTGGAGGAGGCGCGGGACAAGGCCCGACGACGATCCCTGGGCAACATCAAGTTCATTGGAGAGCTCTTCAAACTCAAGATGTTGACAGAGGCCATTATGCATGACTGTGTGGTGAAGCTGCTCAAAAACCATGATGAGGAGTCTCTTGAGTGCCTTTGCCGCCTGCTTACGACTATCGGCAAGGACTTGGACTTCGAGAAAGCCAAGGTACTCCTTGCCCTGCCTTACCTTGCCCTTCCCTTGCCTTTGGGAGGAATGTGACCATGGCTCTGTCCCTCTATAGCCCAGGATGGACCAGTACTTCAATCAGATGGAGAAGATCATCAAAGAGAAAAAGACATCATCACGAATCCGTTTCATGCTGCAGGATGTGATTGACCTAAGACGGGTAAGGTTCGTGGAATGCAGTTGCCTGGGAACTGTATTCCATCTGCTGCTTGGTCCCTTGGAGCTGCTGGCCTATATCCTATGTATTGTTATGTATGGCCTATTGTTCCAGCAATCCTTTTGTCCCCTCTAGGGGAGAGGTGGATATGTGAGCTGTGGCCAGCCCCAGAGACACCATGCTAGCCCTTGGCCTTGGTTATCATGGTAGTGGTAGTGGGCACACAGTAACTGGCAGCTGCTTAATGCAGGAGGGCTCTGGAAACTGAGCCTTTTTGTGCCAAAAGCTGCCACAACACATGGAGAGCAATGATGGCTGAGGCAGAAGATGAACCTGAGACTTTGAGAGTGGGATGGCTGGGAAGGGGGAATGCCTTTCCCTCCATCTTCCAGCCATCTCAGTTTCCTCTTCCTCCTTCCCTGCCCTCTGCAGAGTAGCTGGGTGCCGCGGCGAGGAGACCAGGGCCCCAAAACCATCGATCAGATCCACAAGGAAGCAGAGATGGAGGAGCATCGGGAACACATCAAAGTGCAGCAGCTCATGTCAAAGGACAAGAGGAGAGGACCCCCTGGGCCATCCTCCGGTGGTGAGTGCCTGGGGCTTGGGGGCACTTGAGTTTGCCAGGGGTGGGTTGCTCCTGCTGGACTCTGCTCAAGGCTGGTCTGCACCTTATGACTGTCCTTCTTGTGCTCAGGGCGCAGTAGCCTGGTTGCAGATGATGGCTGGAACACAGTGCCCATCAGCAAGGGCAACCGGCCCATCGACACCAGCCGGCTAACGAAGATCACCAAGGTGAGGCTGGGGGTGTGGGTGTGGCAGCCGAGCAGGCTGCCTGGCCTAGATCCTGCCTTGGTGTGGGGATCAGGTCTGACTGTCTGTCTCCACCTGCAGCCTGGATCCATCGACTCCAATAACCAGCTCTTTGCACCGGGTGGGCGGCTGAGCTGGGGCAAAGGCAGCAGCGGAGGGTCTGGCGCGAAGCCCACAGATTCAGGTAGGCAGTATGGGTCTAGCTGGGTGCTGTGGGACGGAGTGGGAGGTGATCCTTCCCCTGGCAGTTCCTCTACCAGGGAGTTGCCGAACTCTGAGACTTCCCTCTTTTCACGCCCAGCATCTGATTCAGGGCGACCAGCCACGAGCACCTTGAACCGCTTCTCAGCGCTCCAGCAGTCAATGCCTGCCGAGAGCCCAGAGTCCCGCCGTGTGGTGCAGAGGTGAGGGGCCAGCCCTGCCTTGGTAGATGGGTGTGTGGGGGTGAGGGAGAACCCCTGATTCAGGCTTGTTGTTGATCAGGGTATAGGCAAGTTACAGTATCTAGATTAGCCCTGTGGCAAGATGGGGCCTTGAGGGAGCTGAGTCAGTGGTGAATCTTTGTGGCAAGGAAGATTGACCTCACCCTGAGTGCCCTCCCTACTGTTTGGCACTTGGGTGACTACCCCTGGGTGCTTGGTCTGGCCTGGGGATCCTTGGATAGACATTAATGGGTGGGAGTATGAATTCCCCAAAGAGAGTTGGACTGTGAGGAGCCCCAAGAGGGCTGGAGTTTGGATTTGTTCGGGAGCAGAGGAAAACAAAGGGAGGCTTTTGCATCAGAAGGAAGGTGTGGGTAGGACAAAGGCAGGCACTGCTCAGCCATGCTAAGGAGCAGAATAAAAGGAAAAGTGTATGAGTTGGAAAGGGGGAGAAATACGGAAAGTTTTCCTCCAAGAATGGTCAAGTGCTAAAAGAGGTGGGGATTGGAGTGGCACAGCCTCACCTTACAGAGTTCTGTAGTCTGGGGTCAGGGAGGGTGGTGATGGTCTCTTCACACTGTGTTCATCTTTCTCTCATCCAGGAGCAGCTCCAGCCGTGACAGGTCAGAGAAGGCTGGGGACAGAGGGGACCGGGAGTCACGTTCAGAGAAGGGCAGTGACCGTCTAGAGCGTCCTGACCGGGGGGAGAGAGCAGACAGGAACAGGTCTGCCCTCACCAAGAGGAGCTTTAGCAAAGAGACAGAGGACAGGAGCCGAGAACGGGAGAAGCAGGGAGGCCCCGAGGCCGTGCGCAAGGCTGCGAGCATGACGGAGGAACGGGACCGGAGCCGAGAGACCAGTGAGCTGGGGAGGAGTGATATCCCAGGGCCTGGCTGCACCTGCAGCTCTGCCTGTTCCAGGTGATGCCTGATCCTTGCTTTTTTGTTGCAGTTAAACAAGATCCAACCCCTCCTGCAACATCCACCAAGCCTGTGCTGTCGGAAGAGGAACTGGAGAAGAAATCCAAGGCGATCATAGAGGAATACCTTCACATCAATGACATGAAGGTGAGAGAAGGGAGTGGCCAAGCACCCTAACACACCATACATGTTCCCCTGACATGCCATATGCGTCCCCCTTTGTGGTAGCACTGTTGGGCAGGGTTCTGGTGGTGCCTGGATGGGGGAGCCAGAGCTGGCTGTGGGGCAGTACTGACCCCTCTTTTCCCTGCAGGAGGCCCTGCAGTGTGTGCAGGAGCTGGGCAGCCCCTCCTCACTCTACATCTTTGTGCAAAATGGCATCGAGTCCACGCTGGAGAGGAGCACCATCTCCCGCGAGCACATGGGAGCCCTGCTCTGCCAGCTGGTGAAGGCAGGCACGCTCTCCAAGGAGCAGTACTACAAAGGGTGAGGGGCTGGGGCAGCCTGGCTTTGAATTTGGCCCTGCCTTGGGTAGGATTCAACACTGAGACATCCTGAAAGTCCCTCCTAGCCAAGGGTATGGGGACTGCTGGATCCCAACAGCTCCCTCTGCTCTTCAGGCTGCGGGAGATCTTGGAGATTGCGGAGGACATGGAGATTGACATCCCACACATTTGGCTGTACTTGGCTGAGCTCATCACCCCCATCCTGCAAGAGGAAGGCATCCCCATGGAGGAGCTGTTCAGGTGAGGGCTGTGCTCCTCAGCAGGGGTGGCATGGAGTGCCTCCCAGGGGCAGGTAGCTCACCCAGGTCTCTTGTGCCCCACAGGGAGATCACAAAGCCCCTGGTGCCCATTGGGAAAGCCACCACACTGCTGGTCGAGGTGCTGGGCTTGTTGTGCAAGGGCATGGTAAGTGCACGGGGCTTGTGTGGTTGCTGGCTGCTGTCTCAATGACTGGCATCCTGCTTGTGGGCCAAGTGGGCATGTGGGGATTGAACCCCCCTGCCACCAGAGAGGATGGTGAGGGGCATCCCTTTCAGTGTCTGGGTCATGGGGCTGGCATGGCCAAACCGCTGTATCTTCCTCCCTGGCGATGGAGGGCATGGCGTGCTGATAACAACTGTCTGTCCCGCAGGGCCAGAAGACAGCAGGAAAGCTGTGGCGGGATGGAGGCCTGAGCTGGAAGGAATTCCTGCCTGAGGACCAGGATGTCAACAAATTTGTCACAGAGCAGGTGGGGTCTTGGTGGCAGCGAGGGGCAGAGGTGGGCTCTGGGCAGACCTTGGGCAGGGTAGGAGGGGTGCTCCTCTGTGCTGCCTTCAAAAGCTCTCTGCCTCCTTCCCCAGAAATTGGAGTACACGATGGGGGACAGCTCAGACATGCCAAGCCGAAAGGAGCTGACCTCTGAGGAGCTGTGCAAGCAAATAGACAAACTGCTGAAGGAGAACCCAAACAACCAAAGAATATATGACTGGATTGAGGTGAGTGTGGGGGCACAATGCCTGAGTGTCTGGATGCTCCCTTCTGCCTCACTCTCCAGCTCACACTCCTTTACCCTCTCCTCTCCAGGCCAACCTGAGTGAGCAGCAGGTCTCGTCCAACACGTTTATCAGGGCCCTGATGACGTCTGTGTGCCACTTGGCCATTGTCTGTGAGTACCAGGGCGAGGTGGGAGCGGTGGGGGTTCCCCTGCCTACAGTGCCCCTCTCACACCCTGCCCATTGCAGTTGAGAACCCGTACCGCGTGGATGCCATGGTCATCCGCAACCAAGCCAAGCTGCTCCAGAAATACCTGCGGGATGAGCAGAAGGAGCTCCAGGCACTCTATGCTCTGCAAGCCTTGGTGGTGAAGTTGGACCAGCCTCCCAGTGAGTATTGTGGGTGTGGGTGGGTTGAGGTGGAGGTGGCAAATGTCTCCCCACCCCAGCAGGGTGGTTGGTGCCTGGAGGATAGCAGATTCCCCTTTATCCCCCCAACCCAGACCTGCTGCGGATGTTCTTTGATGCCCTCTACGATGAGGACGTCATCAAGGAGGAGGCTTTCTACAAGTGGGAGTCCAGCAAGGACCCAGCCGAGCAGCAGGGCAAAGGGGTGGCTCTCAAATCGGTGACAGCCTTTTTCACCTGGCTCCGGGAAGCTGAGGATGAGTCGGACAACAACTGAGCAGCTATGAGGACGAGGAGGAGGAGGAAGGGGGGAGAGAGAGCGGGGGCACCCTAGGGAGTGACTCCATCCCTTCCCATCCCTGGCCCCCATGGACTTGCTGATGCCAGGGTAGAGGGACCTGCTGTGCCCCTTGCAGCCCCTCTCTCTTATTTCAGTTCTCCTCTCTCTTCTTCCTCTGCCCTGGTTCTGTTTTTAAGGCCTGTACGAGTTTGTCATGATGATAATAAACAGATGCTGACTGAGGCGGTGGCTGCCATGGGTCCCCTTGGGGACCCTCCTCGCCCCCCTCCCAGCGCAGGCACACCGGGTCTCTGGGAGTGGGGCAGAGCACCCCTGGATTCATGTCATGGAGAGGGGGGGATGGGATGGGGACATAACTCTCCCCTCTTCTCCCTCCTTCTTTCTCCTCTCCCCTTCTTGATGAAATATAGAGAGATTATATATATATAAACTTATTAAATTTGGTTTGGGGACAGGAGTGTGATTTCTCCCCCTCCCCTGTCCTCTCTCTATTCCTCCATCACTGCCTGGACCCACTCCCCTGTATGGTTTTTAAATTTTAAATATAAATCATTCCCCCCCCCCAGATCCTGCTCTGACACCTGGGGAGGGTGCCGGGGAGGAGGGGGGGTGGCCCCTCCTCTCTGGGCCAGGCTGAGTCCCCTTCATGACCCCAAAAGCCCCCATCCTCTTCCCAAACGTTTAAGGCCACAATTGGGCAAGTGACAGGGCGGCCCCCTCATCCGCGTCCCCTGTATTTATAGAGCGCCGGATGTGACGAGCCGCATGTGTAATTATTAAAACAAGGATTCAATTACTGGTCACGTGAATTTGTAAATAATTTTTTTTTTTGCTTTTTTTTTTTTTTTTTCTTTATGGAGTATTTAATTGAAGATTTAAAGGCATCTTTTCACCTTAAAACTGGAAATAAAAGAACATTGCTAAATAATGCCCCGTGTGCCGCTGTTGCCGCCCCACCCTCCCATGTCCCTTGTGCCTGGGCTGGTGTGGGGGTGCCAGCCTTGAGCATGGGCAAGGACCAGTCTCCCCTGTCACTGCAAGGCAGGTAGGTACCCCCCACTCCAGGGCTGGAAGGGTGGCAAAGGGGTTGGATGTGCCTTGGAGCCAGGCCCCCTGGACTCCTCTTGCTGGCACTACCTGGCACAGGGTCTTTTGAGGTGGAACAGACAGCCCTTCCAGCTGTGGAGCAGCTGATGTCCCCAGTTGTCCCTTTTTCCACAGTCATGAGTGGTGGAACCACCTTGGTCTCCTCAGGGAGGAGATGGGAGATGTGTGCCAAGTTCCCCCTACACCTTTCAGTGTGGGAGGGCATTTTTCCATCAGCCCCCTCCTGGCCTTGTCTTGCAGTTGGAGTGGAGATGGCTCCTGCTGGGGTTCCCCTGTGGGATATCCCTGCTGGGGACAGAGGCTGGTCCCCCTTGGGGCTGGAGGCTGGTCTTTGCTTCCTTGGGCTGCCTCTTGCTGAGTCACCCTGGCCATGGCCCAGAGGGTACAGAGTAATTAACCGGAGGCTGTTCCCCAGATTAGAGGCTGATCTGTCTGAGCTGCAGCCCTGGCATCACTAATGCTGGGAAGCAGTTGGCAGCGAGAGGCCTCGGGATGGAGACTGGGCAGGAACTCCCCATGACTGGGAATGAATAAGGAGGGAGGGAGACCCTTTGAGCTGTTTGGGTAACCTGCTTCCCAGGGGACAGAGAGGGTGGCACGGCAGCAGTGCCCTCCTGTGCCAGGGAAAAGGTACCACAGCACTAATTGCCATCAGTAGATTTCAGAATGAACACGGGTTGACCCATCAGCCTGGCCATCGGCGCTGGCCTGGATCTCCGGCAGGGGCCGTTGTGTCAGACGTTGTGATGCTCCAAAGCCTGCACCCACCTGTCCCCATCCCAGCTCCACTGGGGTGGGGGGCTGTGCCAGAGGCTGTGTGCTCCATCCCACCCCACCAGACCCCCGGGGGCGGGTAGGGGCAGGCAGGTCTGGGGTTGAGGGGCCCCCTGTTTCTGCAGGGTCCCAGCCCTTGTCCCCCTCCCCCGGGGGGTGTACCGGGGCCGGGCGGGGCGGCGCTGTCCGCGGTGCTGGCACGGCGCTCTCCGCGGTGGCCGGCCTTCTTCCCCTCCTCCTCAGCCCCCTCCTCTTCCTCCGTCCATCCTCCTCCTCTCCGCGCCCCCTCCTCTTCCTCCATCCCCCTCTTCCTCTTCCTTCAGCCCCCCTCTTCCTTCATCCTCCCCGGCTGCCTTCATCCCCCCTTCCACTCTCTCCTCATCTCCCCTTCCT